AAAACCACAAATAAACAAACAAACCTAAATGTGGGGCTGGGGCTCAGAGGTAGAGCACACTCCTGACACTTGTGAGGCACTGGGTTTGATCCTTAGCACCATATAAAAATAAAATAAAGGTACTGTATCAACCTACAGCTTAAAAAAAAAAAAAGAGAAATCTAGGGGCTGGGGTTATGGCTCAGCAGTAGAGCGCTTGCCTCTCACGTGCAAGGCCCTGGGTTCAATCCTCAGCACCACATATGAATAAATAAAATATAGTTATAAAAGAAAAAAGAAAAAGAAAGGCTAATAAATTCTTAAAAAAAAAAAAAAACAACCCTAAATGTGATATATCAAGGAGGGATCTTAGAACAGAAAATGAATGTTAGGTAAAAATAAATCAGGATATCTGAATAGAGTTATGGAATGAACATTGGATTATTGTTAGTCTACTATATTAATGTAAGATGTTAACGATAGAAAAAACTGGGGAACTCTGTTCTATTATAAAAATGAGTTTTAAAAATTGTTAATATGAAATAAATAAAAAAAAAAATGAAACTGCTCACTGTGTGGTGTAGTGGAAAAAGCATGAATTTCAGAGACAAAACCCGAGTTCCAATCTCTGCTGCTTCACTTATTGGTTGTCTGGTCCAGTAGGTAAATCACTAGGTACTTCTGTGATTCAGCTTCCTCTTCTGCCAATGTGAGGATAAATGTAGTGCCATCCTAATCAGGCTGGCATGAAGGCTAGACAGAATGTATTAAGAATCTAGGACAACCAATGCCCATCTCTAAAATCTTCTCAAGGACCAGACACATTTCCTTGGGCAGTAAGCCGATTCTCACTAATTTAGGGGCAAAAAGTAGCAACCACAAGAGCAGGGAGTAGCATGTTCCTTCCTTAACTGTATTCGAGGAGCCTGGTTTGGCACTTTATATACCCACTTTCTACACAGCGACAATGCTGAGTGAGATCACAGACTGTACAAGAAGGCAAAAAAGACATCATAAAATTCCAGGATTTCTTCTTCTTCTTTTTTTAATAGAACGCTTCATGAATTTGCATGTCATCCTTGCATAGGGGCCATGCTAATCTTCTCTGTATCATTCCAATTTTAGTATATGTGCTGCCGGAGTGAGCACAGGCTCCAGGATTTCTACATTTAGCTATATGTAGAGTCAACAGGGATTTTTTTTTTTTTTTAATGCAGATTCACCAACTTATCCTCAACCCCTGAGATTATTGAGTGAGTCTGTTACAGGACTATGGTGTCCATTGGTTAAGCACGTTTCCAGATAATTCGGATGACTGTTATTTCTATATTCCAGGAACAGTGAGCTTATCTCTTCCTCTTTTTAGAGAAGGGAATCAAGGCCCAGAGAATGCAGAAGTGATGAAGTTCAAAGGCACGCAACCGAGGAATGGCTAAGCCAAAAGGAAAACATGTATCTAGGTTGTGTACCTTTGTCCTTAAGCACATTTTTCTAAAACAAAGGGCCTGAACCCATAGCCTAACACTTGGAATTGCATGTGCAATGGAAAGGGGAAAATAATCTTAAGAAATAAGGTTAGATAGGGAAAATGTGGTGGGAAAATCAATTATGACCCAGGACTAGTTAAAATAGGCGACCGAGCTCTAAATCTTTACCTAACATTTATAGACTCCACAAATATTTAGACTCTTTAACTGTGGAAAGTTTGTTCCTCTTCTGTAAATGGTTATAAGATTATCCTTAAGATTTTTTTTTTTTGTACTGAGGATTAGACCCAGGGATGCTTAGCTACTACAACCCCACCCCTTTGTATATTTTATGTAGAGAAATGGTCTCACTGAGTTTCTTAGGGCCTCGCTAAGTTGCTGAGGCTGGCTTTGAACTCATGATCCTCCTGCTTCGGCCTCCCAAGCCACTAGGATTACAGGCTTGTGCCACCACACCTGGTGACTTACAATGATTGTATTTTAGCCTTGGTTTGAATAAAGGGTAATTCGTTTGAGAAATAGTGGGTTAAACATTAGTTTTTCAAAGTACCTGTTAAAAGAACTGCTTATTTGCTTTGGGAACTGAATACAGAGACTGAGCCAAAAAAATCTGATTAAGAATCAGCGTTACCTTTGTACAAATACGAGAAGGTGAAACATTCAACTTCCTGGAACCATTTGGCAGAAACCAGAACTATGTGTACAATTATACATTTACCATCACTGGCCAGGACTGCCAATGGCTTCTGTTCTGCTCCACCCTCAATTAGTTCACCTGAGTGATGCTCCAATCAGTCGAGAACCTGTACCAGCCCCACTCCCTACATCTGCAATCACACTTTTTCTCTTGTTCCTGCAGATCAGTGACAGTCAACCTTCCCATCTCCAGGAGACCCCCCCTCCCACTTCATTCTCCCTTTCTCACCACTCAAAAATACCGTTCTAGGGCTGGGCTGGGGCTCAGTGGCAGAGCACTTGCCTAACATATGTGAGGCACGCACTGGGTTTGATCCTCAGCACCACATAAAAATAAACATATAAAGGCATTCTGTACATGTAACAACTATTAAAAAAAAAAAAACACTGTTCTAACAATATAAACCAAGTCCTCTCTCTAAATTGTTCTTATCAGCATATCAACATCTATAAAACTTGCTGTTTTTTAAAAAATGATCCTCTCAACTATATATATTTTCTTTCACTTAGCACCAAACTTTCCGAAAAATAAATAAATAGATCAACCAACAACTACATTTTGAAGACAGAGTACTGTTAGAGCTACTATAGCTGCTTGCACACACCCGAACACTATGAGACTGCCCTTCAACTGTGAGCAAAAGGAGAGAGTAACACCCTCCCCTCGCCAAACTGCAACTCTGCCTCTGAGCTCTGTGCAAGTCAGGAGCACCAGACACATGGACAACTGTTTTAATCAGACACCCTGAGGTCTCAGTTAGGAAGTGATTCTGGTTGGAACTCAGGACAGAAACATTCCTCCAGGCAATCTTCCCATGGGATTTCTGTCTAAGTGAGAATCTCACAGGACTCTTTATTAAACCATTGTTTCTGTAAAGCAAACATTTCAAAAAGTTCAGTTCCTCCACTGCTGGACCTAGGCTTTAATTGTAGATTAGGGTGAGGCAGCAGCTAGATTCTTTGAGAGACTGTAAGAAAATAAAACATTTGAGAACTTACATATTTTAAAAAGAGGACATTCTTAATGTTCTATATAGAAACTGAATTACCAAACCAGTTACTTCCCCAACACTTTTCTACCAAGGGTATTTCAAAGTGTCGCCTTTAAACAGTGATTTAAAAACAAAAACAAAACAAAAACCTCCTAGGCTAGGATGTCCCTCAGGGGCAGAGCACTTGCCTAGAACATACAAGGGCTTCGGGTTCTAACCCCAGTACTGAAAACCAAACAAACAAACAAACAAATAAAAACACAAACAACAACAACAACCCCCCCCAACACACAAAAAAGCCCCCTGTCCGTCTTACAGAGAAAAATAACAAGTAGTATCAGTCTATGAAGGTTCTAGAACTCCATTTCCACAAGAGAGGGTTACACCCATGCCCAATTACCAAAGGCACAAAGCTTGGTTCAAACCAGAGAAAGGCAGTATTATTATTTTGTGACTGGAACAATCAAAGCCGCTCTCAAGTGCAGGCTGGACAAAACACCAAGTACAGGGACAACAAGAGGCTTCAGCTAACAAGAGCTACACTGCAGAATCAGGACTCTAGTCCTTTGTGATACTGCACAAAGGACTAGAAAAGCAGACCCTCTGAAGTATGAAATTTTGAGGGCCAATACAACAGTGCTAACCTTCAAAGTTTCTATAAGATTACCATTTCCTCATATTTTCAATAATACAGATCTTCGGCACAAAATCCAGCTCCACCCAGTAAGTATCCTGTCCTTGTCCTCCTCCTCTATTTGTCTACCACACAGAGAAGGAACAGGAGAGTTCAGCTTTAGGACAGCAAAAATGCTTCTTTTAAGTAGTTTTAAAAACTTATCCTACATTCACTGTGAACACAAAAACATAACTGGCCTTCCCAGCCCACTTGAAAACAGAATCACCTAGTCCTACTCCACCTTTTTTCTCACACAGGTACACCTACCTGCTCATAGTTAAATAGAGAATTGGTGATTATGCCAGGAAATGAAGTCTGTATCTATTCTAGCACCCTACCTTTTATAAAAGACCATGTTGCCTACAATCTAGCAATCCAAGTAGTAAAGGCAAAGCCCAAATGAATACGGAACCCGCCATGGAAAACCCAATCTCCTTAGTCCTAACACTGAGCTCTAACCTTGAAAAGCTAAATGAAGAATGTTTTGGGAAAAGTTTGCCAACAAATCTAGCAGTACACCTTATATTGAGGACTCAAATCATAACTGTGTCCCTTCAAATTGCCCTGTCTTGTCAGTGCAAACTCAGCTGTGTTTTTACTTTTTTCTTCTAGGAAAGGTTGAATAAGAATGTAGAAAATAATCTAGTTTCACTCTGCCAAAATTCTGGCAGAGCAGAGCTGTGCAGGAATGTACCTGTATGGAATCTTCCCACACTCCTGAGTTGTTAAGAGGAACTAGCAGAGGCATGTCCCATACACTCCCCAAATATCTGAGCTGGCAAGAACAAAAGATATTCAGAGACCTTAGCCCTGGGACAATAGCTTCTGTCAGTCAACTACAGTTCTCACGACTCTGTTTCTGCACTAACTTCAACCTCATACCAAATAGCACATCACACCTGTACAAGTACTTGAGAAAAGCACATGAATAAATTCACACAGTAGCATAATGATTTTGGCAAGAAACCAAAACTAATGATGAAGTATAACTTTTTTAAAATCAGAGACTTACCCAAGTATATTAATCTTAGCATTTATATAGCAGATTTGGCAAGAGATTTGAGACCCCAGTAACCTATGCCTGAGACCAACACCAAAAAAGATCAGGTAGAATTTCCATGACAAGGGAATCACTTGGTAAGGAGGCTAAGATCATCATTCATCTCTTACCTGAAGCCAGAGGTCGGATCCATTCTTTGCTATTGAGGTCAAGTCTCCAGAGATCGTTGAAGGCAGCATTGCAGCTGCTCTGGGTACAGCCTCCAAACACATACATAGACTGATTAGCATCATAATAGCATGCACCTAGAAAGAAAACAACAACAATATGTTATTGCTGCTTAATATTGAGGCCTGTTAGACACTGAAACCATAGTCCATATGTTTTAAAATTCAAATATTCTACACATTAACTAAGTCTGTTACCAGGAACCAAGTTTTTTTTAACCAGCCTCTCGTCTTTAGGTTTATCAATCATATTATCCTTTAAAATAAGGCCCAGAGAAAAGCCATGAAATTTTATTTCTGAGCAAGTAAGCAAGTTACAATGATGTCATTAAGTAAGACAGAATAATTCCAGCAAGAACACACAGGGAATTCAAATTAAGGATGCTCCACAAGGGAAACAATTTAAATGTGTATCAATATCCTCTAGGGCAAGGCTAAGATGGTTCTGAGCTGCCCTCTGCCCTTCTACTCCTCTCCTCAAATCCCTCCTCCTATTGTTTTTGTTTTCAAATGAAACCTAAAGGGTAAAACTGTACACAAATCTCCCTATGAAATGCAGTGACAACAACCGTGAAACAGTTTTATCAATGACATGAAGTAACCATGCCTAAAGATCAATGCAACTAACACAACACCAATTTTATGAATTCCAAAATGCAGCCAGGGCTCAGGAGTGTGAGCCTGAACTGATTCCAAAGCAACAACAACAAAAGCTCACAAGTTATTAAGTTCCTAGGCATTTCAAAAGCTACTAAAGCAGGCTCCCAAAAACTACAAAAGGCATGCTGGCTGGTGCCAACTAGAAAACCAGCATACTTAAGAAACCTTTAAAAAGGATAAGGTCTCAGAGAAGAGCCCTTTAAATTAGATGATTATGTACATATCACCATTTCTAAGAAAAAGAAGCAGACTATAAGAAGGACTCTTACCCTAAAACTGCAAAGACCATGCTGGGCATGGTGGTAAACATTTGTAATCCCGCTACTTAGGAGGTTGAGGCCAGTGGATCACAAATTTGAGGCCAGTCTAGCAATTTAGCAAGATCCTATCTCAAAATAAAATTGTAAAGAGGGACTGAGGCTGGGGCTCAGTGGTAGAGCATTTGCCCAGGTAAGATTTATGTTTTCTTTTCTATCAAATCTAAACCTGTAATGAAATACAAATGTTTATTGTAACCTAAATTTCAGGTGTATGATGGAGCCATTTTAAGTTAGGAAACCATGAGGTCATAATGGTGCCATTTTAAAATTCCCAAACAAGACCAGGCTTGGTGGTTCATGCTTATAATCTCAGCAGCTCAGGAGGCTGAGGCAGGAGGATTGCAGGTTCCAAGCCAGCTTCATCAACTTAGTGAGGCTGTGAGCAACCTAGTGTGACGCTGTCTATAAATAAAATTTTTTTTAAAAAGAGGTGGGATGTGGCTCAGTGGTTTAGGGCCCGAGCGTTCAATCCCTAGTACCAAAAACAAACAAACAAAATTCTCTTAACAGGTATCCAAACACAACTGCAGCCCTTTTCTGTACCCTCCCCAATTTTAAATCGGCTAATTGTGTAGACTGTACCCCTGAACACTTCCTATCAGAGCAAGGGGCAGTGCTTCACTAGGGATAAAACCTGGTGGACTGCCTACCCAGGTGTGCTTGCTTGTTGGCCTCTGGGGTCACACCCTTCTGCAGAAGAACAGTATTTTTTTTGTTTTGTTTTTTACCTTGCCAATCTATTTACAAGCAAGTTTGATTTCTTGGGTACTGGGTATTCTAACACCTAACATATGGAAAGCCCTAGGTTCAATCCCCAGCACCAGGGGAGGGAAGGAAAGGAAAAATAATACCACTATTGGTCATCCAGTGCCATTACCATAATGACCTTTGTGATATATATACTAGCTGAGAGTAATCCTTTTTTCCCTTTACTTAGCCCACCTGTTAGGCTCTTTAAAGATGGCACTAGGAAGGACAAGTCAGAAAACTACATGAGGTAGTAAAGTAGTGTGTCTAGGCATTACACCGAGTCATCTCAGACAGTGAATAAATTCAAATGATCTGTCTGCCAGCATGTGCAACAATGGAGCTGCAGGCTTTTGAAAGATTGGAGAAAGCAGAAAAAACAGATGTGAAGATATAAGATGCCATCTAGTACAGGCTTACCCTTCACAGATTTACTACAGCCCCAGAACTCACACCAGAAAGGCATATGAAGATGTAAATGGTCTCACACCTCCTGTTGACACCTTACCTCTAAAAAGAACTTCTATAGTTTTATCAGTTTTTAAACCCACATCCCAACAAGATTATTTATTAAGTATAATAAAATTCCATTGCTCCCATTTCAGATTGGCTTAGAACTGCAATTTAAAACAAAAATCAAGTTAGAGGACTTTAGACAAACAAAAGACTAATTACCAGAGCCACATTTTGATCTCCACTGAAGGGCTCAACACCAGAAATTTTGGTCCTGTTAGACCTATCCTGAACTAGCAATCCCAACACATGTTTTTTTTTTTTTTAAGAGAGAATTTTTAATATTTATTTTTTAGTTCTCGGCGGACACAACATCTTTGTTGGTATATGGTGCTGAGGATCATATACCAACAAGCGAGCGCGCTACTGCTTGAGCCACATCCCCAGCCCCACATGGGTACTTTTGAACTGAGCCAATGGATGCTAGGTGTAAAACAGTCCTCTTCTTTTGATTATCCAGAACAAAAACTAGCTATGTTCTTTGGTTCTAAAACCTTAATTGGTTTCACTTATAATGATGTCTAATAAGACAAATTCATAATTTCATAGTTAAAAAAGAGCCAAGGGTGCTGGGCAGGGTGGCACACGACTGTAAATGCAACTATGTGGGAGGCTGAGACAAGAGGATCACAAGTTTGAGGCCAACCTGAACAACTCAGAGAGACCTTGTCTCAAAAATAAAAGATAAAAATCAGTAGTAGAATGTCCCTGGGTTCAAAATCTAGTACCAAAAAAAACAAAACAACAACAACAACAACAAAATCTCCACAAATACACACACAAAGAGCCGAGGGCTAGTTTATGTTTCCTAGTTCCTCACAGATAAAACTCTCAGCATCTGCTTCCTTCATGTAGCAAAAAAGCACAGTGCCTTTATTTTTCAGAGATGGTGTGAGTTCTGGGGCTACAGCATTCTTCTTCTCTGTCTGGATTGAAAACCCAGCCAACAGCAGGGCCCCCTGCGGTCCTTACTACATGTGTTTTAGTCCTATACTAAAATATGGCAATAGGCATTTTCCTGCTTTTCTTTGAGCAAACAAAGATTTCTGGAAGAGGAAAGCACAGCCCAAAGTATGCAAAGCCAATGGGTCTGAAACGGCAAGTTTCACATACAACTGGATTTTCTTTTTTTTTTAGTTTTTTTTTTTTTAATGTTTATTTTTTAGTTTTTGGCAGACAACATCTTCGTTTGTATGTGGTGCTGAGGATCGAACCCGGGCCACCGCATGCCAGGCGAACGCGCTATTGCTTGAGCCACATCCCCAGCCCACAACTGGATTTTCAATGATCAGCACTCAATTATCACTGGAACTGGGGAATAAAGGGAGTCAATTTGGGCAGCTATGTTTAGAACTTATATATAAAGGAATGAGAAAATAACAATCAATAATACATTCCACTATTTCAAGCATCTTGCTGAACTTTGCTTAGTGCTTATTTTTACTTAAGATGCCTATATGTTGATTTTAGTGGGAACATCCAACAGGTTCAAATGGGCCTTTTAGGAAAAACTAGGAATTTGAACAAATTACCAGTGCTCAAGTAGTCATTTCCCTTTTACTCGGGTTCTCCACCCAAATAAAAGGTTTTCCTTTCCAAACATCTAGACTACTAGAATATGCTGTACAATGCAGTATGAATACTGTGCCAGAAAATATTAAGACTGTTTACCCAAGTTAAATCTTTTCAAATTTTCTAAAATGGGTCTGACTGTTTTATGATCAGGTTACTATCTAATAGTCCCTATTCAAAGACAAGTCAGATATTCACAATTTAATTAAACACAGCAAGCAAACAGTTTGTCACAGTTCTGAATATTTTTGTACTGTATTGTAACGATCACGTGCAACATTTTCCTGTAGTTTCATATTTCCCATGCTGCCCGGTGCATTCCCTATGCTTGATGAATGAACTGTACATTCCAACTTTTGCACTTTCAGATGTTAAATTCTCCTTTGTTTCCCCACCTGTCTCCAGGGAAAGGCCCTCAGGCATTTATCCCATGCTTACAGAGACTCTGCTGTTCTGTATCTCACATCAACAAGCCAGAACATATTTGATAAGGTCTGTAATTACATAACTCTGGAATAGGCAAGGGAGGTTACCCAGCCTGGGCTTGCCGGCTCCTGCAAGAGCAGGACCATCAGTATGTGCAACTACCTGACCCTATTGAAAGCCTAAATACTCACATTTTTCCAAAGGATGATACTGGGGACTCAATAAACCTTTATATCAATATGAAAAGGTTCCAACCAAGTGCAGTGGTACAAGCCTGTAAATCCCAAATATTCAGGAGGCTGCTGTAAGAGGCTCAAAAGTTCGAGGCTAGCCTCAGCAACTTAGTAAGACCCTGTTTCAAAATAAAAATAAAAAGGGTTGGGGGTGGGTGCGGTGGCTCATGCCTTTAATCCCAGTGGCTCTGGAGGCTGGGGCAGGAGGATCGCAAGTTCAAAATCAGCCTCAGCAAAAGCGAGCAAAAGTGAAACCCTATCTCTAAATAAAATACAAAATAGGGCTTGGGGTGTGGCTCAGTGGCCAAGTGCTCCTGAGTTCAATCCCCAGTATCCCCCCCGCCCCAAAAAAAGTATACTGTAGGGGAAAAGAGTGTGTGTGTGAGCAGTGCACAATGGTGCACGCCTATAATCCCAATGACTGGGGAGGTTGAGGCAGGGGGGTTACAAGTTCAAGGTCAGCCTCAGCAACTAACCAAGACCCTGTCTCAAAATAAAAATTTTAGAAGGGACTGAGGATATAGCACAATGGTAGAGTTGGGTTTAAAAAAAAAGTGTATTGTGGACTAAGCGTGTAACTCAATGGTAAGGCACTTGCCTAGCATGTGCAGAGCCTTGAGCACCACAAAAAAATAACATTAAAAAAATGTGTGCTATGATGAGAAGATGAAATGATTAGTTTGTTAATTAGGATGATAGGAAAAAAGAAAAGGTATGAGGGAGATAGGATAGAATTAACAGAATTTGAGTTGTTAAGAAAAAGGAAGGAGAGAAACTGAGGAAGAAGCCAAAATCTCAAGTCTGTGTAACTAAGAAAATGATAATGACATGAACTAAATTAGGAAAGGAGAAAATTTGGGGGGAACTACTGAGTTCTACTTTTAGCTAACTGAATATGAAACATCTAGTTTCTCTATGGCAACATAGGCAAGTATTAGAAATGCAGATCTCGAGCTCAATGTGAATTAGAGATAGGAAAGGAAACTTAGATCAAGGGGAAAACAGAATAGAAAGAGGAAGGAGCTAAGGAAAGAAATCAAAGGAATTCTTTTTGTTTTCAACCTATTTTGAAAATTGTCCTCTGCTGCACAGTGCCACACGCCTGTAATCCTAGCTACTCAGAGGATCCTAGGTTCAAGGCCAGTCTGGGCAACTTAAAGAGACCCTGTCTCAAAGTAAAACAAAAACACAGAAGGGCTGGGGAGTGGCTCAGTGGTAGAGAACTTGCCTGGCATGTATGAAGCTCTGGGTTCAACCCCCAGTACCACCAAAAGACAAAAACTTAACAAAGAAAACCTGCCCTTTTGCTTGTAATGGTCCCTTTCAGCTTGCTGGTTAGCTAGTCAAAGACAGAATGTAGAGACAAAGGGAAGAAAACAATAACAGATCAAAAGAGATAATTAGACACAGTGGTTTTTTTTTTTTTTTTTGGTTTTTTTTAAATATCTACCTACGGTACCTTTTCTTGGATTTCAAGTGAAGACTGAAAAATGTTTTAAAGTATTCAAATTCACCAACTTCCGAACTTCTGTGGGCTTACTCAATGAGCTATTCCTTTCCACTGCCCCTTCAAACAATGCCTCCACTTTGTGGCAATACCATCTGCAAAAGCTAGTTAACCAAAAAATATCTTTTTCCTTTCTCATAAGAAAGCAGAGCTGTTGCTGAACTGATCATTCACAATGGAATATTTCCAAATCTGGTTTCTATTTCACCCAGTGTAACCACATGAATATGGGAGTGTCCCCCAAAGGTCATGTGTTAGACTAGACCATCCTGCTAAAAGAAAGTAGCTCTTGGGAGGTGGTGTGGACCTTCAAAAGTGGGGACGAGTAGGAGGCCCTTAGGTGACAGGGGGGTATGCCCTTGAAGAGGACTCTGGGACACCAGCTTGCCTTCTCTGTTTCCTGGCTCATGACATAAGCAGCTTCTCCACCACACATTCCTGTGATGGTGTGCCAGTCTTACAAGAGGACTAAACAACTTGGCCTCCAGATCTTGGATTGGAACCTCTAGAACCATAAGCAAAGTAAATTTTTTCAAAATTTAATTGCCTCAAGTATTTCACTACAGTAACATGAAGCTAATATACCCAGGTTCACTCAACTTCTCAGAGTACTAAAACTACTTGTTTCAAAAAATGGTCTTTAAAAATTTTGTCCCTACCTTTTACTCCAGTTATCTGTAAATTAAGTCATACTCTCTCAATGATATGGGTCCTCCTGTAATTTACTTTTTCTCCTTTTGTGAGACAGGGTCTCACCAGGCACAGTGACACATGCCTCAATCCCAGTGGATCAGGAGGCTGAGGCAGGAGGATCACAAGTTCAAACCCAGCCTTACCAACAGCAAGGTGCTAAGCAACTCAGTGAGATCCTGCCTTTAAATAAAATAGAAAATAATACACTGACCTCTTTGAAATATAGAAAAATCCAGGGAGAAAACAGAATATAAAATAATTAATAAAGCACCTCCAATTTATTTATTTGTTAATTTGTGGTGCTTGGGGATCAAACCCAGGGCCTTGCCTATCCAAGGAAGTAAGCTGTATGCCCAGTCCTTACAATATATTTAGGCTAACAATTTTCCTATTTCTGGTTGAACTTAATTACATGCAACCAAAATAGTTTCTGGAAAATGAGCAGAGGCAGGTGGGGTTTGTTTTCACATGGATACTTACTGTGTGAAAACCGCTGAGTGATTGGGGTTCCAGGATAAGGATAAGTCCGGCTCTCCCACTGAATGTTTCCTTCCTGGACAGCCTTCATGAAACCATGGTAACACTGGTGGGCCACACCTAAACACAGAAGAACAAATGCCTGAGCTTCAACACTTAACTTGTAGGTAAAATTATTAAACCTGTGTCTTTAACTCTTTTTTTTTTTTAATGGAGAAGAAAACATGGACCTGATTTTTTATTTGGCCTTAAAAGAATTATTAGTAAAACAAACAAAATATCAGTATAAGCTTTCATTGAGTATAATTCTTAAAAGTGAATTTGGCCAGGCGTGGTGACACATTCCTGTAATCCCAGCGACTCAGAAGGCTAAGGCACGAGGATGAGTTCAAAGCTAGCCTCTAGGGAAGTGGCTCAGTAGTTAAGTGCCCCTGAGTTTAATCCCCATACCAAAAAAGAAGAAGAAGAAGAAAAAGAAGTGAATCTGTATGACTATTAAATCATAAAGATATGACAGCCTTACTAACCAAAGAAAAGATCATTAACGCATGAACGCCCTCAAATGAAAATGGCTTGATTTGGTAGAAATGTAAAGAGGCAAATCTGTAGGCCTAAGTGATACAAATATTAAAATGATTTTTTGCCTAAAGTAATGAAATAAGCTTTCTTACTTGTGATGATTTCATCTAGATGATCAACTTTCCCACAGAGCATGTTTTCTAGGGTTCCCTTAGAGATAGCAGATAATTTCAGGGCCCAATGGTACAGGCTTTTTAATCTCTATGCCATCAGCTCATACTCTGATGATGTTTTCCATTAACATTTTTTGTATATGAAGAATGAATATTATGCCGTTTCATTTAGGCCTTAGAATTATATATATGAGATTCAATCTTAATATTCTTGGCTCTGAGGGCTGGGGTTGTAGCTCAGCGGTAGAGCACTCACCTAGCATGTGTGAGGCCCTGGGTTCGATCCTCAGCACCACATAAAAATGAATAAGCAAAATAAAGGTATTGTGTCCAACTACAACAAATAAATATTAAAAAAAAAATTCTTGGCTCCGAAATAGGCATGATTAGCATCATTAGCATATTAAGGAAATAAGTCCAGAGTGGTTAAAGGATCTGTCCAAAACTGGACTGAAAGTCTGAACTTCTAGTTCTCTTTTTCTGATTTCTTAAAAAAAAAAAAAAAAATTCCAGTTGGCAGTGAAAGAAAAAGAAAACTAGCCTAAATTTCTTTGAATTTATTTATTTATCTATCTATCTATTTATTTATTGGTACTGGGATTGAACCCAGGAGTATTCAACCACTGAGCCACATTCCCAGCCCTTTGTATTTTTTGAGACAGGTTTTGGCTAAGTTCCCAAGACTGGCCTTCAACTTGTGCTTCTCCTGCTTCAGCCTCCCTGCCACTAATCTAGATTAATTTCTTTGATTTTTTTAATCAAAGAAAGGAAACAATCGAAGAATTTCAAATTGGGAAGATCTAATCCTTTCATTTTACCAAGATACAGGGAGGTTATTGACTTTCTCAAGTTTAACTGTAACCCTGGCCCCCTGTATCATGAGACAATACATCAAGATAAGTGGTATTTATTTTCTCCAAAGCAAAAGGGTGATGGGATAATTTAGCTCTGTGAAAGAATATGATAAGACAGTATCTGTAATTTAGTAGGTATTGTGAATATCTGTAGATAGATCACTGCTCCCAAGCATTCTCCATCCAAGGATACAATAATAAGCTTATAAAAGATTATGAAATGATGAATTCTTAACTAAGGAAAAATAATTTTTTAAAGAGCCTATGTAGAAAAGAGAGAGAGAGAGAGAGAGAGAGAGAGACAGACAGACAGACAGACAGACAGACACAGACAGACTTTACTGCAATGGTAGATTCATGTCATTATACATTTGTCAAAATCCACAGAATGTACAAGATCAAGAGTGAACCCTTAGGGCTGGGGATATGGCTCAAGTGGCAGAGCGCTTGCCTAGCATGCGTGAGGCACTGGGTTCGATTCTCAGCACCACATAAAAAACAAAATAAAATAAAGATATTGGGTCCACCTAAAACTAAAAAGTAAATATTAAAAAAAAAGAGTGAAACCTCATACAAACTATGACCTCTAGGTGATAATAATGTGTCAATGTAACAAATGTTCCACTTACGTGGACAAAGCTGATAAGAGGGAGGCTGAATGACAGGGAGCATATGGGAAATTCCTGAACTTAGCAGTTCTTTGCTAGGAGCCTAAAACTTCTGTAAAAAATATAGCCTATTTAGGGATTCCACCTCTTGGGTCCCCTTCTTCCTCCGGGAGAAGTCTTTTCTGCTGTCCTTTAATAAACTTCTAATTTCTACTCTGAAAAAAAAAATATACATATATAGCCTATTTAAAAAGGTGAAAGCTTTATGTTTCAGGAACAACCTATTTCTAACACATTCATTTCAATTTCTGATTACATCAGAGCAAACTTCTGAAGGAAAAGTCCAATCAATTTTATGTTACATTTTGAAAGAATTTATCATTTCTCAATTTATGCAACCTTAGTAGATCTTTAAGCAGAATCACAGTACATAGTTATATATGTTTTCCATGATGATCACTATCCCCATAGTATGATAAATTCAATTTAGCTGAACTCACAATTAAAAAGAATTAGAATATTTTTAATCCATATGCCCACTGCTTGCTTGCTTTTTTTAAGGTACCAGGATTGAACTCAGGGGTACTTAACCACTGAGCCACATCTCCAGCCCTATTTTGTATTTTATTTAGAGACAGGGTCTCACTTAGTTGCTTAGCCCCTCACTTTTGCTGAGGCTGGCTTTTAACTTGCAATCCTCCTGCCTCAGCCTCCCAAGCAGCTGGGATTACCAGCGTGCACCACTGTACCGGTTAAACACCATCTTTAACTGGGAGCAAAGCCAAGAAAATGGAGGAAAAAGCCTTTTACAACAAATGGTGCTGAACTGAGCTTATCTATTCAGAAAAAGGAAAGCAGAATACCTTCAAAACTAACTCAAAATGGAGAGACCCAAATGTAAAATGCAAAACTATAAAACTCATTGAAGGTAACAGAAAACCTAGATGGACCCTAGATTTAGAGATGACTTTTTAGATACAACACCAAAGGCAAAAATCATGAAAGAAAGAATTGATAAACTGGATCTCACTGAAATTTCTGTATGGGTGCATTGACACATCCCTATAATCCCAGCAACTTGGGAGGCTAAGATAGTAGGATCCCAAGTTCGAGGCCACCCAGAGTAAATTAGTAAGACCCTGTCCCAAAATAAAAAATAAAAAGGGTTGAAGATCTAAGTAGCTCTGTGGCAAAGCACCCCTGGGTCCAATTCCTAGTGACCCCCTCCCAAATTATAATTTTCTATTCTCCTAAAAACACTGTAGAGAATGAAAGAATAGGCTGTAGAGTGGGAGAAAATATGTGCAAAAGACTTATCTGATAAAGGTGTATTATCCAAAACATATACAGAACTCTTTTTTTATATATCTATTTTTTAGTTATAGTCGGGCACAATACTTTTATTTTATTTGTTTGCTTATTTTCTTCACGTGATGCTGAGGATCAAACCCAGCACCTCACACATGCTAGGTGAGTACTCTACCACTGAACCACAACTCCAGTCCAAGAACTCATTAAAAAACAAAACAAAACATGGTGGCTAGGGCTATAGCTCAATGGTAGAACACTTACCTCACTTGTGTGAGGCACTGGGTTCTATCCTCAGCACCACAAAAAAATAAGTATAGATTATTGTGTGCATTCACAACTAAAAAAATATTTAAAAAAAAATAGTGAGTTGGGGATAGAGCTCAGTTGATAGAGTGCTTGCCTTGCATGCACAAGGCCCTGGATTCAATCCCAGCACCACAAAATAAATAAACAAATAAATAAAGTCCAATTTTTAAAAATGGGTCAAAGACTTTAACAGCCACCTAACCAAAGATATATGGGTGACAAATAAGCATATGAAAAGATGCTCCATAAAATTTATCATCAGATAACTGTAAATTAAAATGACAAACTACGATAAGCCTATTTTAATGGGGAAATTCCAAAACAATGACAACTAAATATGGTGTTGAGGATGTGTAATAGGAACTGTTATCTGTTGCTGGTGGTAATGGAAAATGGTACAGCCACTTCAGAAAATAGTGTGGTGGCTTCTTATGTAACTGAACAAATTCTTACCACATTACCTAGCAACTGTGTTCCTTGGTATTTACCCAAAGGAGCTGAACACTTGCATCTATAGGAGCACCTGCCCATGGATGGTAAGAATGGCTTTATTCACAATGACCAAATTTGGGAAGCAGGGAAAATGTCCTTTAGTGGTGAATGAATAAATGAACTATGGTTCATTCAGAAAATGGATTATTACTCTTCACTAATAAGAAATGAGCTAACAAACCATGAACAGACATAGAGAAAACAGAAATTCTTATTACTAAGTGAAAAAAGCCAATTTGAAAGGCTATGACATTCTGGAATAAGGCAAAACAATGGAGACAGAAGAAAGATCAGTAGTTGCAGGGATTGGGGAAAGGGAAGGATGACTAGGCAAAGCACAGAGGAGTTCTAGGACAGTGACATTACTATGTGGTACTATAGTAGTGGATGTACGTTGTACATTTGGTCAAACTCATAGAATGCACATTGTTAAGAGTGAACCCACCCAGCTGAGCATGGCGGTACATGCCTGAAATCCCAGCTCTTCAGGAGGGTAAAGCAAAGAGGATTGCAAGTGTGAGGCCAGCCTGGGCAACTTAGCAAGACTAGGTCTCAAATTTAAAAAGGGCTAGAGATGTAGTAGTTCAGTAGTAAAGCACTTGCCTAGCATGCACTAGGCCATGAGTTCAATCTACAAGAAGAAAAAAGTAAAAAATACACAGAGGGCCTGTGCTTCTTAAAGATAAAATTAAGTAGTAAATGCTTTCATGATCACATTTTGCTAAAATAAGCTACTTTGAGAGATTGTGTGTGTGTGTGTGTGTGTGTGTGTGTGTGTGTGTGTGTGTATATCCTAGTTAAGAGCAAGGATTCTAAAGCCAAAATGACTGAATATGAATCTTCCATCCTTCATTTACTACTTGTGTGACCTTGATTTAGTTAGTTACTGCCCTCCTCAGTTTCCTTATCTATAAAATGAAGTACATTCTATTGTAGTTTGTTGTGAGACGAGAGCAATTACAATAGTGCTTGACACACAGTAAGAGCAATATTCATGTTAGCTCTTATAGTTCTCTCATATCCATGCCTGCATTACCTATTCAAGTACAACAGAACTTTTTCCAAATCACCTTTAGGAATATGAAGCTTTTAGAGCTAGGTGTGGTGGTGTACACCTGTAATCCCAGAGGCTCAGGAGGATCTTGAGTTCAAAGCCAGCCTCAGCAAAAGCAAGGTGCTAAGCAACTCAGACCCTGAGAACTAGAGATGTGGCTCAGTGGTTGAGGGACCCTGAGTTCAATCCCTGGTACCAAAAAAAAAAAGAATATGAAGCTTTTAAAAAGAATCCTCATTTTTAAACTGTAAATCTTCATTTTAAATACTATATATTCAAGCTATGCATAAAACCAACCAAAATAAAAAAAAGGAAAATGGGTTGTCTTATATTAAGTTTTATAATCATAATACATTTAAGGGAGAAAAGGAAGTTGGGAATCTAAAAATAAATCATTGAACACAATTTGAAAGGGTTTATTAATAAAGCTTTTGCCTTCACAGTACCTTTGATAAGTCGATACCACTGTTTGCAGACAAGGGCTGCAGTTTTATGTTCCTGATACGGTGAGAGAAAGGACAGGATATACTCCAAGACCTCTTCTGGCAGCTCAGACATGGACCTGTTATGTCTAGGCTCCTCGACATCCAGTACTGGGTGGGGGTCCTCGTCTTGCTCCATTGTCCCTTCCAGAACAGTTTCTTCTTGGTCCACAGCCATGAAACTGTCATCTTCACTGTCCGAGGAGCTGGCCATGACATTCCACTTGACAGCTGGAGTAGACAAGAAACAAACATCCTGCAGACTGTTAGCAGCAGCCCAGGACTCAGGCTGTTCAGATTTCCTCCCTCACTACGACTTCTTCTCTTCAGTACTTCCCCCACAGTAGTTGTGAGCCACCTTAATCTAACAGGAGGAGCTCAAGACCCAAGCCCACCTACAAAGGATCTGATTATACCCCCACACACAGTGGAAACCAGGAAGGCAGCCAAGTTCTGGTATAATCTTAAAACTGGAAAACTAATTCCTTTAACTCAAAAAATCCGACACAGACCACAAAGAGAATAACAGGTAGCTTCCATTGGCCAGTAACAATGATCCAAGATCTTGAACTTAAAGGAAAAACTAACTCTGGGTCCTGCAAAGAGTAATAAAATTCTGAGGATATGAGTTAAGAATACCATTTTGGGGGGTGTGGGCATAGCTTAGTGACAAGAAAGCTTGTCTGGCACGTACAAAACTTGGTTTGATTCTCAGCACTGCAAAAGCAAAACAAAACATTTTTTTTTTCCTGGCTTTTACATAAAACAAGTCACTTAAGAGCATAATAAATGCACCCAGAATAATTAGCTATAATTATTACATATAATTATGTGATAATATAACGTTTACCACAGAAAACATCATAATAGATCCAGGGAATAAAAACTGAAACAACCCAAATGTCCAGAAAAGATAAATGGTGGTACATTCGCACAGTGGAATATTATACAGCCAAGAATGAAGAGTACATACACACAGATATATCTTGCAGACATAATACTGAGCAAAAGATGACGTTATTACATATACTACCTGATTATACTTATGTCAAGTTTTAAATTGTACTTATATTACAAATGAGGACAGTGGTGAGCAAATGAGAAGCTCCTAAAATGTTAGTAAAGTTCTGTTTTCCTGACTGGGTACTAGTTACACAGATATGTTCTGTTCATGAAAGATTCACTGAACTGAGTACTTATGAACTTTTCTGAAGTTTACCCAAAAAAAGCTATTATCAGTAGTTACTTCTAGTGGAGATAACAGATAATTTTAATATTTTCCTCTTTGTACTTATCTGTATTCCTTAAATTTTCTGAAAAGACCATAAATGTATAGAGAAAACCACTGATGCATGCAAAGCCTTTGCAGACAAGGACTGCGGTTTTATAAAAAGGGTAAAATTAAGGAAACAGGGTGACTTATGTAAGAACTGTGTCCCAAGTTAGATTCTTCAGGAAGCAGATACTAAACATTATTAAGAATGAAAAAGGTTGACTAATGAGTAACTTCTGTGAGAGGAAGAAGCAGGACTGGGGGGGAATGACATTAGATTACAGACTGCCAAAGCCTGTGAAAGCTAGTACAGATGGCCAGTTAAAGAAACACAATATAAGGGGACAGGGAGAAGTTCTTACATCACTGCTTTGCTCAGCCACTGGTTGGGACCCCTCTAGGAAGAGCATGACCTTGGCTCCAAGGGGTAGACCTTGAAGCTGCTAACAGGGGCAGCTACACTCCTTTGCAGGCAGCCAGCCAGCCAGCTTCCCCCCCACCCCGTACTGAGAATTGAGCCAGGGCGCTTAACCACTGAGCCACATCCCTAGCCTTTAGGGTCTCTCTGAGTTGCTTAGGGCCTCACTAAGAGGCTGAGGCTAGCTTTGAACTTGCAATTCTCCTGCCTCAGCCTCTCAAGCAGCTGGAATTACAGGCTAGTGCCACCATGTCCAGCATGCAAGCCCTTTCTTGAAGAGACATCTGAGATAATTTTATTACTCTATATTTACTTGCTTTGTTCCACACACATCTACCCAGATGGTTCACTATGCCACTCTATCTTACAAACATCCAGCATTCTCTCTAGCACTGATAAAAAGAATAATAGGAAGAAAATATACTTTGGGACTTTGAGAAAGATCTGAAATGTTGCAAAAGTTAAGGGGACCCTTCAATAGATGAATGGATAAAGAAACTGTAAAATGCACACACATGCACACACACACAGAGAAGAATATTACTCAGCATTAAAAGAGAATAAAATTATTATTATGGCATTTGAAGGTAAATGGATGGAGTTGGAGAATATCATGCTTAGCAAAGTAAGCCAATCCCCCCAAATCAAAGGCTGAATGTTTTCTCTGATAAGTGGATGCTAATCCATAATGGGGGTGGGGGTGAGCAATTTTGGATTGAGTAAAGGGGAGGAAGAGCTGGGGATAGGGCATGGGGTAGGAAAAATGGTGGAATGGGATGAAGATCACTACCCTAGGTACATGAATGATTGCACAAATGGTATGACCCTACAACCAGAAGTGAAAAATGTGCTCCATTTGTGTACAATGAATACATTCTGCTGTCATGTATATCTGATTAGAACAACCACAACAAAAAAGGTGAGGGGGAGGGCAAGAGAGAGGACAGGAAACTCTCACCTCATCTCTACCACTCCTTAATTCATATACTAGTTATGCACATCTTTGAAAACTGGAAGAATGATCAATAAAAAAAATGGAAACATGAATCAACACTCATCGTTTCCAAAAATTGTTTATCTACTGAATTAGCTCACAGCTCACAATGCCGCAAATGCATCTAGCAACCTGGCTGCTAGGATCTTGGTGATAATGGGGAACTGGCAGTTCCTGGGTTAGTAGAGCGGACTAAATCCTCCTGGTGCTGTGGTGCAGAGGCAGTGGCAACCAAAGGAAATCATTTCCCTCCTCCCAGCCCCCAACCCAAAACAAGAGTATAATAATTAATTTGCTTTCAACTATGTTAGATATAGGATCTCAGGTCTTTTCCAACCTGATTTGAGTGAGCTGTATTTCAATGAATAGACAGCTCCATTTCCAGCCTTAACTCCTGTATTAAAAGAGGGTATAGTCATGTGAAAAAATAAAAATCAGAAATGTTTTTCTGGCAAAGGAAAAAAAATCACAATTTTTTGTTCCCCTGCATATTATCACTTCCTATTGGCCATTTCCCTAATTTATTTACTTTCTTTATTAACTCCCTTCTGCTCTAAAATCACTGAGTCCAAAGAAATAGACTTCTTGAGTTTGACTACTTCATTCACATTTAAATTATAGACAGCCATTCCCTTGTACAACATTCTCATGTATGTGGACATGAGACAAAGAGAGAAACTGGAGGTTGAACCCAGAGACACTAAACCACTGAGCTACATCCCAGGCCTTTCTGAATTTTGAGACAGGGTCTCACTAACGTTGCCCAGGCTGGCCTTGAACTTGCCACCCTCCTGCCTTAGCCTCCCAATTTGCTGGGATTACAGGCGTGCATTAGCATGCCTGGTTACTTTGCAAGACATTCTGAGAGACTATGAGCCTTAGAAGGTCTGCTTCAGAACAAATTGAATCAATGGAGACTATAAAGGTCATTTATGTTACTATTTTTCCCAAGCAAAATAAATCTGTTTGATTCAACAAACCAATCTACTCCTCTTGCAAATCTTCTAAAAGTACAATTGGCAAGTCTCAACAAAGGCATCCACTAAACCATTTCTCTGTCCACAAAAACATCAAGTCTCAGACCCTGAAGGCATTTTTGCTAGCTTGACCCTGGCACAGATGCCCAGGAGAACACCAGGAGTGGGCTCACATGAAATTCCTCAGTAATTGCATGCCCAGTGCCAATCTGCACAGCCCTTCATTTTCACTTCATGATGAGGTTATGAAACCATCACTTATACTCCCCGAGGACACAAAGGCATTCTGAAGCTGAGTTTTTCTTGTTTTCATGCCAAAAGAAGCCCTACAAAATGTTTCACATGTATGTGCATTAACTCAATGAATGTGATTTTTACCAAATGTTTAAAAGAAATCTCTCTCTTTTTTTAAAGAGAGAGTGAGAGAGGGAGAGAGAGAGAGAGAATTTTAATGTTTATTTTTTAGTTCTCGGTGGACACAACATCTTTGTTGGTATGTGGTGCTGAGGCTCGAACCCGGGCCGCATGCATGCCAGGCGAGCGCACTACCGCTTGAGCCACATCCCCAGCCCAAAGAAATCTCTTTACATTTATATTAGGTCTTTCCATTTTACTAAAAGTGATAATTTCAGGAAAAACACAAACTGAAGTTAACCTAATAGGATCCAACCTGCTTGAAGGCAGAGACCATTCAGATGAGCATAAAGTTTATAGGCATTTCTACTCAGAACTCCTTTATGGTGAGAAATTGTATCATTTCTCAGGAAATAGCAGACCCAACCCACTGGATGCTGTCAAGATATTTTATTGGTCATTATTAGTATATATCTCTGGTCCTTGAATTCTGACTTCCCCTCCCCCAAGTACTAGAGGTTGAATCCAGAGCATGCTACCTCTGAACTACATCCCTAGCTCCTTTTAAAAAATATTTAAAACAGGGTTTATATTAAGATGCACAAGTGGGCCCTGAACTTGAGATCTTCAGATCTCAGCTTCTTGAGTAGCTGGGATTAGGTATAGGCCATCATGCCTGGCAAATTCTAAACTCTTTCTTCTTTTTGGGGGGCACTGGGGATTGAACCCTGGGGCACTCCACCACTAAGCTGCATCCCCAGCCCTTTCTATTTTTGAGACAGGGTCTTGCTAAGTTGCTTAGGGCCTTGCTAAAGTGCTGAGGCTGGCCTCAAACTTGCAGTCCTCCTGCCTTAGCTTCCTGAGTCATTGGGCACGTACCACAGTACCTGGCAAATTCTGACCTTTTAAGGTGTACACTGGCCTGAGAGTCTGTTGCCAGGCTCATAAGCCACACCCAGTCGCCCACTGCCAGGTCAAAAAGAAAGTGTTTTAGAAATCATTTAATTGGCCCAGAATTTTTTTTTGGGGGGGGTGGGATAGGGCTTGGGAGACCAACCTTATATCCAGTCACACTCCCTGGCTGTGTGCTGAGGTGCTCAGTCACAGAAACGTGGCAGAGTTTTCCCCACCTTTCTTGGGTTCGAGGGTCGGTGACTTGGGCATGGGTGTATCTTGCTACAGCCCCATGGATAAAGCTACGCTCACATCTTCCTT